GGAAAGAGGCAGCACTAATTTCCATTCCCCTCCTGCCAAATTTCCAGACCTGTGGAGAGTCCCACGGGCTAGATAACATGGCTCTGCATGCTAGATAGTGCTGGAGTGTGGCCAGATGGAGCATGACATGGAGGAGGGTGCACCGGATCGTACACATAAACCAATTCCACGTGCCGACCCCGGGAAGGATCCTCCCCATAGACTGACCCTGCACCATGGGGCCAGAAGGTTGGGTGCCATTGGTTTTAAGTAACTCTCTCTCCAGAAACAGAGTTGAACACTAGGGTAATCATTGAATATACAAGTGTACCAGAGAAGCAACTGAGTTAACAAATGTATTTGAACTTCAACTTCTGAATTCTTAGTAAAAATAATGAAGAGTGAATCAGAAAGTATAATGCTGGTGAAGAATACACTGACAGCAGCCTCCCAAGACACATGATTTGCTCTTTTAGCCCTAGCAGAAATTTGGATAACTGTTTCATACTGTCATGAGAATCACAGAACTGAGTCATAGGAATCATAGACACAAATCTTTTAGAATTGATTATGCATGCTAACTTTGCCTTTTTCCAACACCAGACCCCACGGTTCTTCTGTTGCTAACAAATACAGAACACATTTCATAAAAGATATGTAGAGATAATGCTCACCATGAAGGACTATGCAGTGCTCTCACCTGTTATATTGCAGTAAACCCAGAGAGGTCCAAGTGGTCCACTTCCATCAGAATCAATGTGGAAGAAACCAGATGTCTTTCCTTTGTGCCGATAGCCTTCACAGGATTGCTCATAGATGGCTGGAATAAGGAAAGATTCACCTTATTACACGGGTATGAGAGAGGGCAAAGACAGACCTTTTTGTATAAACTAATGAATTGCCATTGATTATTTCTGGGTTTTATTTTAGGCTCCAATTCAGGAAATGATACTTAAGCATTTGCTGGCATTTTCCAGACTAAGCTAAGTAAACACTTTTAAAGGCTGATACGACCTTAGATGTGTGAAATTGCAGCACTTGTTAGAGAGCACCAATTAACACAGTTTATTCCATGAACATCTGCAAAAGGCTGGTCATCACAGAGCATGGTTATTGTATGCCTTCCCCAGCCCAACAGCTATACCCAAGGTAGAGTTAGCCTGGATTAAAAGTTCAAGTGGGTTTGCCACCAGAATCCAAGTCCAAAAGTTGAGATGAAAGTCAGGAGCTGAGTCCACAATGGATTCAGGAAACTGGAAATAAAGCTAAATAAGACCCTGGGCAGGGCACTGGGGGAGGCAGGAACTAGGGGCAAGAACTGAAGGGTAAGACTAAGGTCTGAAGAAGGAGTGTGGTTGTCATAAGAGCAGGATTCATTTGGTGCATGGCTTAACGTGGTTACCTCCTGGCGAAGGCAGGGTTATGGAGATACCTACTCAGTCCGGTGACCACCTACACTACTCACACCGCATCCTCGACATCAAGTGGCAAGACAGAATTACCAACACAGAGGTCATCACCAAAGCCAACCATCACTGCACTACTCAAACAGTGGCACCTACACTGCTTGCCCATCTCTGCAGGATGGAAGATGGGCACATCCCAAAGGACATCCTATATGGGCAAATTGCAGGTGAGGAGAGAAGAGTAGGTTACCTAAAATTGCACTTGAAAGACATCTGCAAGCAGGACATGAAAACTTTTGGAACTGACCCAAACCTTTGGGAGGCCTTAGCAGGAGGCAGGGCAATGTGGTGCTCCCTCCTCAGTCATGGAGTCCAACATCAAGATGAGAAATGGTCACTTGAATTACAACAGAAATGTGGCCAAAGGAAACAGCCTCTCAGTACAGTAGCCTCTAATGCTGTGTATACCTGTGGCCACTGTGGCAAGCCTAACATCAGTCTCTATAACCATAGGAGAAAATGTACCACCAGTCAGTAGAATAGCTGTAATATCCACTGTCACTTGCTGATGAATGGATGCCATTATTATTATTACAGCAACTAATGAGTTCTCCTAAGGAAAAGAGGTGACTGGTGCCTCTTCCAATGTCTAGTACCAACCCAGATGCAGGTGTGAGCTAACTAGTGAGCTCCCTTTATATGGGAGACATGGATTTATGCCAGCTGGTTATCCTGTTTTCATGCACAGAGCTCTTATTTTTTCTGCACATTTTCCTTTGCTGAAGAACTCATGCCCATGAAACAGCTTTGAAATGTAAATATTCAAGGGGTTAATAAAACAAGCTGTGACTGACACCCTGAATAACAAGAAAGCAGGAAAAAACCTGCCCAAGGGTAAAAGCAGTTCTTTTGATTATAGACATCCTCAGGCAAGACACCACAATTTCAATAGCTAATGCTTCCCTTAGGTGCTATATTACCACTAGTATTGACCTTGTCACCATTAAATTGGTCATATATGCACATATGTTTATCTATGTACACACACGCGCGTGTACTTCCAAAGTGCTAAAGCTTTTATGTGTTATTGTGCTTACCAAACAGTTTCCTTAAAACAGCCGATGCAAATGTATCCCCACAATTCACTAAACAAGCTGCAAAAGGCTCCCTCGACATCCAGGAGATGGCATTAACCCATACTGTGGCCGTGTCTATACTAGACGCTACTGTGCAGTAGCAATGACCTATTGCTACTGCTCAGTAGCCTTGGGGGGAGGTAACCATGATGCAACGGTACTGCGCAGTAGTAACGAGCTACTGCACGGCAGGTTGTCGAAACAGCGCAGTACCGTCAGGAAAAAAGAACAAAAAACGTGCAGGGATGCTACTGCACAGTAACACTGGTTACTGAGCAGTCATTTAGCACTTGGTTATGCAAGTACTAAATGACTGTGCAGTAACAACTATGTAGTCTTCCCTTCCTGTAGATGCAGCCACTAGTAGATTTTATAAAGCAAGCATGGTGGCAGACAACCCAAAGCAAAACCTGAAGTAATGGAGGGGACTCAGAATGGAAACTACACCCCAAAATATCTGATGGAAGCAATGATGGGATCTGTTCAATTATTTAACACACATGGACTTGTCATAGATTCAGTTTATGGTTGACAATTGTTAGTGCTCTTATTGTACAACAAAAAGAGAGAGACCCCAAATCGATATGAGACGGAGACAAAGGGGAAACCTCTCGGGAAACAGACAGCTAAGCGGTAACACAAGGTCACGTGGATGAACGTCTTCCGACTGGGATTCTGACTAGCTGTGCTTTCTTTTCCCCCTGTAAGAGGAATTGATCTTGTTTCCACGTAAGCCGTTCCCAGGTTATATTGATTTGAGTTTATTAACCATAACGGTCTGTTTATTATTGTTTAACTGATTTTATATATTCTGTTTCTCTTAACCACATTTGGCACAAGGGCCAGGACTTGTGAGGTTTTTTATTATTATTATTTTCTTCTAAGAGTCACAAATATTTGGAAGGTATGGTAGATCTGGAAATGGGAATGAACAGAGCAATACCCTTGCAAAACCAATGTCCTTGCAATGAGTGAGCTCATTAGTGATAACAATAGCAGAACACACAGCAATATATTTGGGCATCTCCTTTGGCTGCTGCAAGGTCAAATCTGTCTTTTTCTTGCCCCTTGATTTTATGTGCACATTTAACAGCTATTCACACACAAACAGATCATTATACAGCAATATGGGACATATATAGATTGAGAGAGACTCAGGGGAACATGCAAGTATCCCATTTGTTAGTCTTTATAAATTTCTTCATGAATCCCTACTACTTTTCAGCCATCAGAGTCATACCATTAAGTTTGATATACTATAATGTTTGCTGTGTGGAGGTTGTAAATAAAGCTTCAATGTTCATAGTGCCTTTCATCCAGCATCCTCTCAAGGTGCACTGCAGCTCGAATCAAAAGAGCTCTCCTCCTTGTCACCTCCATATGCTCCCCTCTCCTATCACATGGACCACTGCAACAATTCTGTATCATCAAGATCATATGGGTTCCTCTCTGCCAGGGGAAGGGGAAAAAAATGTTTTCTCCAATTAATGAAGCTTGGGGAAAAAATTAAATAGCCAGCACAGGCTGGACAAAACACCAGACAGCCACTACTAGCATTCCCCAAAATGCTATGGAAAAAATCAGCAGTCACAAATGATCAAGCATCCAGACTGTGCTTTTTCTAGTTTTCGCAGGCTATATCTATCTATCTATCTATCTATCTATCTATCAAAAGTGGGGGGAATATATATAGATAGATACATCTATATCTAGATAGACAGATAAATAGATATATCTACAGCAATATGGGACATCTAGATAGATAGATAGATAGATAGATAGATATGTATATATTTTCCCCCTCCACTTTGAGATCTCTGATCTGGCCTTCACTAACTGGACTTCACTTGTGTCTGATGAAATCGTACTGTAGGGTAGCCGGCTGGTAGGAGCCAAATGCTCAGAGTAGGATTCCCAGAGTTCAGAGGTGGTTCAAGGTGCTCAGCATGCAGCAGGATTGAACCTATATTTAATGTTCAAACTACCATAAAACATGACTAATCTTGTCTCTTCCTGTGCCTTTTTATCCTGATGTATAATGAACTGTAGGAACTGAGAAGTGCTGAGAACCCACTCTCTGATAACAAACCACATGCACAAATTTAAAAAAAAATATCCGAATCAGCTACAACTTATTCCTCATGTATTTACAGTTTTAAAGGCTTCTGGTAGTCTTTCAATTACTGTTGCTGCTGACAAAGGCAACCAGGACACGGGGGAGAAGGAGGAGAGACCATAACAGGCCATTAAGTAACCGGTCAAATAGCCGTGCCTTGATGAATACACAAGGTTCTCAAAACTGCAGCTCATTTAGTGAATTTGCTGTCATCATCATTACAGGACAATTCATCTTGGATCATTAGGGACCACATTGATTGTATCCCTTGCACTTTTTTATGTACAGAAGATGCTGCAAGGAGCAGATATAAACTCTTGTGTCTTGGTACAACTCTGGTGCTGCTAAGAAGTCCTCGTCTACACAAGGTCTCTTGGTGGTTAGTTTAATCCCAACTACTACATTGGCTTAAGACTGGACGACTCTTCTCCAAATTAAGACAAGGGAAGATGTGAAGACTCACTAGTAATGTGGGCTGTGCGGGCCGGGAGCGACCCGAGCCCTTTTCCGTGCTGCACGCGGGCTGTGGCCAGCAGCCTGGGCACGCTGGATCGGAGAGGGAGGGCGACGAGCTGGAATTAGGCACAAACGCTTAGTGGTAGTTTTAAAGATTGTTTACTTACACCGAGATGGCAGTGGTGTAGGCTGGAAAACTTGCTTGAGTTGCGGTTACAGACACAGACAACACGAACGGTCACGTGGAGTTTGCTAGGCTCCACGGAACAGAGCTCCGGATGCTCTGGGTGAACGCGCCACCAAAATCGGAATCGAAGATACGTCTTATAAAATTTGCGCTCGAAGTTGGGAAGAGGTGGGCGATGGATCAGGTCGCCAAGCTCCTCTGAATCTCACACAGGATCTCTATTACCCTGCCGTGTATCCAGAGTCCCCACGAGATGGATGTGGAGTCCTCTTCGGCTTGGGCGGAAACTGCTCAAGCCTCTTATATGGCTAACAGGCCAATCATTAGCCGCCATGTGGGAATAATTTAAAACTAGCCAATAGCGGGGAACGAATTTGCATACCGGTGGCGGGAACTCTTTTGCACCGTGCATTTCTCTTGCAACTTGAGCAATGCACTCTGCAAAAGAAGCTGCAGAAAGGCGGGAAACTTGTCCCTGCACCGGGGTTTTCCTCTGCAACAGGAAACTCTCCCGTGCAA